TAGGCTGCACGATTTAGCGTGCGTAGTTGGAAGCACGAGGCCAGTAGGCTAGTAGCTAGTTTTATTAGCCTATTAACAGAAGCCCGGCTAAGCAATATAACGTTGATATAGTAGCAGTAGTGGTAATAGCAGTAGGGTTGGTATTGATTAATCATTTAATTATTTTAATTTAACCTGAACAGCTTGCTTAGTAATCCAACACGTTAGCTTGGTAGCTTGGATAGCGGAGTACCGGCTATCAGATAATATATTTATCTAGTGTTTGGAACGTATTTAATATTTATTTATCTGCTACTAAGTAGCTCAATATTTTAATAGTGCAATTGCCATTTAATTTTGCTTGTTTGGCTTGGTATTTATTGAGACCAGCTATTAGTGGTGTAGTCACTCTACCTATAGTGCACTTGTATTGTTATCTGGTATTATTATTGAGTGAACTGTTTGATTGTTAGCTTGGGCAATAGAGTTGTGTATTGGATTATAGTGGCCTAGTAGACCCCGCCTGGTGATAACACGCGTTGTGGTTTTTATTGGCAAGTCGTCGTGTAACTCACCGTGTTTTAGGCACTCTGGGCTTAACTATTGGATAGTTAGGACGAAGCCCGAGTTGCGTAGTCAGCAACGACCCCCTAGGAGTGTGGAGAATCGGCGTAGGCCTGGTAGTGATTATTGCACGTTTGTTTTGGTGACTTGTTTTTGACTTGTTCACAGTGCCCGTGTATGAGCCAGTCCTATACCGGTTAGACCCGGCTTTTGGCCTAGTGGTTTCCCTGACCTTGTCGCAGACCCTGGAACTTTACCCAGCCATTGTAGGCTGAGCTATTCCCGGCAAACGGTTGCGACTGCACGCACTGTTAATAATTATTTTTCCAGTGCAGAAAAGCAGCGTCGCATGCTAGACTCAAATCCGTAACAGTTTTACACAATAAAGACTAGATCTTTAGACTCGTGGCATTACTAAATCAATCAGTGATTGGCGGGATTTGAACCCAGGACATCAAGGACCGAAACTTAACGCTCTACGAGACCAGCTCGCACCCAATTTTTCTAGTTCTGAACTTTTTATAGATGTTATTGTTATTTTAGAATTATAAAGGAAATGATTATGGTTATCATGTGTTTTAGGTGGAGGGGTCTTTTTTCTGTTTTCAAGATAGGTCGACTCACAAATTAAGATGGGTTCGCTAGGGACACCATGACACTGCATTTGTATTTTTCCCCTCTACATTCTAACTCGGAATTGTTTTCTATATCACTGTACTTCATGCTATATCTAGGGGATCGTAGCATTATCTCCAAGATGCCAATTCATTAGTGATCGGCGGGATTTGAACCAGGAATCCTTGGGACCTAAGTTAATTTCTCTACCAGACCAGCTCGCTTCCCTAACTAATTACGGTATTGGCAACGTTGGTTAAAAACGAATTGTGGCTGGCAAGATTTGAATCCAGGTATGGAGAAAGACGTCCTATCCAAAACAACTTATAAACAGAGAAACCAGCAATAAATTAAGTGCGAATTCCAATTTTAACATTAACAATTTTTAATCTGAATAATTAGACTGAAAACCCCTGAATTGCTATCCAATTTAAGCCTACAAAATATGTTTCCCTTCATTTAATATTCAGTAGTAAGTTTTAAAGTGTAAAACAGTTCCCAGCTAGAACTGGGACTAACAAAAAATAAATAGAAAACCAGTTGCATTTTATTATATAAGTGATCGGGGTATAGAAGCGTATCAGAGCGTTGGAGACTGGGTTATACTCTGATATTGTCGGCTTTCAAAAGCACGTTATTGCTTTTAGGTTATTGGAAACAATTTTGCCAATGATTTATAAACTGTTTTCTATTCTACTAACTTGTATCAACATTTAAACTGGCTTTATCGTTTAACTTTTAGAGCGAGAACGAATATTTTTGTCGGTGAAAGATTTTATTTAAGTGTTTTGTATCGGCAGTTGAGTTTGTGTTCAATTAAATTTAGTTAGGAATATATTGTAATATTTATGATCATATTTTTTCAGTGCTTGATTCCACACCACTTGTTATAAGTGTATTCGAATTAGGCTACAAATTTTAATCAACGAGTGTTAGTATTGTTTACAAAATTAACTTAAAAAACGTAAACCTTTCGTGCAATTCAGTAAAATATTGGTTCAATGCTACAACTGTAACAATTAAACATTGTATGATCATAACTATCCCTTAATAAATAAATCATCTTGTCTTAACTCTGAAAGAATATCCTATTTAGTCTACTAGCGTTTAAAAATTGTTTAGCTTATTACAGCTTACACTATTTTGTGTACAAACTCAATTTATTCAAATTATATTATTTTCACGATTCCTTTAGTTTCTAATTCCCTTTGATTAATATACAAGTTTTGGCAGAATGGATAGTTCTGGGTTTTAAATGTGAAGATATTATCCTCCGTAAGTAATTAATAAAGAACAATATAATGGCTTTGTGCGTAGACTTTTATACTAAACATTGTAATTGCATTTTCCATCCCCTTATAAATCATCTAACGGTCTCAATCAACCTAGTCAATCATCAAAATTTACTATTAAGTATAAAAACTCCTGTGCAATAATTTCCAACCATAACCATTAAGACGATTTCCATATTTTATACTTTACTTTGATGTTTGAATAGGTTTTGAAAAATGGATACTTTAGTTTTTGGGTTTTACATGTTGAAATATTTTCTGCTGTTATCATTTAGTGGCCACGAAGCTGGAAATAATCCTGAATCCAATTTATTTAAGAGAATTCTCAAGAAACTAGATAAACTCCATACATCAAGTACACGTTGAATTTACTGACCAGAGCCAGAACAGAAGTAAGTATATTGTTGAACCCAAGGTTGGAACATAGCCAAGATTCTAGATTTCTCTTTCATCTCGACAGGATTATTGTTATATTTTTCTGATATCTTTATTCTTCAGAACACCAAACCTTTAGACGGAGTTTCAGTGAACACTGCAAATTATACGATATTTTCAAAAAGTAAAATAAATTGCTTTCCATTTTAAAGGTCCCTTTTTTAAGCTACTACTTCATAAATATTTTCAATGTGTTTTATTTAACTTTACTGTTCAATTTCTGCTTTGATAATATAATTTAACATCCAAGGTGCAATACTAACATGATTTATAGATTTTAAGGTTTATTTTAAAACTCAATGTTCTTTATGTATGTTAACTATGTAAAATTCACTCCACCCATGTTATAATCACTTTAGCTATACACACAGTGTGTAGCTAAAGTGATTATAACATATCACTATGGGAGTAAGTTTTCTGAAAAATCATTTCCTATCATATCATGCCTTTTAATCACCATATCAAATAAATAACTTAAACATAAAGTACTCTATCTTCAAGGAGAACTGGTAATATTGGAGTGAATATAAATTTGAAATAAAAATTTCACCAATATTTTAAGAATTTTTAATTTTATTTAAAAATTCTTAAAGTATTTGTGATTTTTTTATATCAAATTTATATAAAGTACTCTAATGTTTCTGTTCTAATGTTCCATCCAATAGAAGTACAAAACCAGCGCATTCCCTAACCAAAAGCGATACCAAATTAACTGGGTTTTATATAGACAACAAAATTTCTCCCCTCAACTAATGGGGGCAAGCTGATTTAGTGGTTTAGCACAGAATTTCGGTCTCCAAGATCCCTGGTTCAAATCACACCGATGGCCAATAGCTCTATGTTGTTATGCCGCAACCATATAGACCTAGCATGAAGTAATACGTAAAACGGGTTCGGACTAGAACCCTCGAGGTAAGATAGGTTACTACAGGAAAGACAGCAAAAAACCCATCTATGTCTGTTGAGTGTTAATTCTATAGCGCTTTCTTATTTTTTCGGATAATGATAAACAACTTATCATTGTTCCCTCAGTACGTATACAAGCACAATATCACCAATGAGCCAATAACCCTCTCTATGACGTCAGCCTTTATGGATGGTCTCTGATATTACAATTTCTGAGGAACCTGTTGTACGCCATGTGTTATTCAACAGAATGTTCCTAATATTGTGAAATTAAGTCTTCAGCTACCTCAAAAGAATAACTGTACATAAAATGGTGTTACGAATTTCTAATTTATCCTGGTACGAAGACGATAGTAAATAAATTTTAATCCTAACTGCACTACCAACATATAAAATCTATTTAAGTTTATTCACAATTCATAGTGATAAGTTTGATTGCTCGCATACGTCGTATGAGTAGATTTCAATTTTTATTTTAAATTTTTAGAGGTCGGCGGCCAATATCAGACATACATTTGCTTGTTCACATTAGTTTTGGACAAGTGGAGTACTCATCAAGTGAAACAACTACAAAGCAAGCGATTACACAATGTATACGTTATTGGACACGGGTTTAACAGTACCATTGACTATTCTGTGTATAGTCAATGACAGTCCTCAATATTATTAATCATATGAATACATATGAAATCAATCAATAACATTTCCAAGACTTTGACCTTCCCCCTGAATTGTGCACCTTAACCTAACTTTCAGTCCAAAAGTGTATAGCCATGAGCAAGAGCAAACGTATTTACAGTTAGGAACAAAGATAGGACCCATTTTACCAACATTCCGTCAAGTAATTTAAATATTTGAATATCGATAAGGTGCTGGCACAGCAGGAAGAAGGATTTTAAACTACATTGTTTATAAAGTCTTAGGATTGTATAGGGAGTTCCCTCACAACGGCTTTTCATTTCCTCCCCTTTTTGTTCATTTCGAGTTTGAGTCTGTATGCTGGAACCTGGCTCTCAACCCACCGTCCACCTGGGACTGGTAGACAGAGGATCGAGAGCCAGGTTCCATCATACAGACTATATAGTAGCATAGTAACTTGGCAGACTATTGGCCCACGTTCTTTCGAATCACATGGTTGCCATCGTACCCCAAAGCAGATCTATGAAGTCATCCTATCAGTAATACCTACAGACATTTCAAGGCACTTACCTCGTCATAGATGAAGTTGTCGATCTCCTCCAGAGGACGGCCGTACAGTCTGGTCGGGAACGGCTCGAACTTGCCCGGAAGTACACTCCCGTCCTCCACGCTGAGTTTGCGACGCGGCTGGAACCCATAGTCTCGCACCAGCTGAATCGTCTTACTCTCATGCTTGTCCAGGCTCTCCCGGGTGAACGGCTTCACTTGCACTTTCACTTGGGGCTTGGGGGCGCCCGAGGGGCCCGGCGTAGCCCCCGGTGGGGCCCCGTGCAAGGCCCCGGCCCCGGCCCCCGCCCGTTGTGCCTGGACGGCACGCTGGTTCGCCTGCACTTGAGGCGGTAACGCCCCAGGCAGTCTGACGGGAAACATTACGTCACACTGGTCCCTCCCTCCGTCATGGTGACGTCACTGTTGAGCCTGGCCCGGCCAATAGCACCTGTAACAAAACAGCTGAGTGTTAGTTTGGATGGTTACACTAATTAGGGGGAGTAAATCCTAGCTTTGGTTGAGAGGTTTGGTTTTGACCTAAAGCCCATCGTCAAGCATAATGATACGCTAACAAGCCTTTCCTTATAAGGATTGAGAAGAGTTGTCAAAAACACTCACACACGCACACACAGAAAGGTACAAAAAATAAAACCCTTTAACAAGATTACATGGGTCAAGTAATACAAATATTTGTTTCGGACGCGTAATGCTGCCAGAAGGACCATCATTATTTAGACTTGTAGGTTATTCTGCCAGCAACAATCTATCTTGCATGTGGACTTAACAAACTTAAAGGACTTAACAAACTCAAATCCTTTTCCATCCTTTACTTTAACGTCTTTATAATGTTACATGGTGGTATATGATATAAGGGGTTTTCTAAAAACGCTGGGTCAGACTTGTTTGACATTATACAAACAAGAACCAATATAGCTAAGATGATATTTTTTCTAGGAATAAAAATGGATTACTTCAGTCTTACAATCATTTGGACCAATCTAAACAAATACTTCATTTTCATCTTCGTTCTTTACAATACTCAGTTGTATCCCCAACATAACGTTTATATACTTTTCCTGCAGTTACCTAACAATGTACATGTTCTCTCACTGATTTGAGAAAGCAAAGTGGCCAATTCGCTCATCAGTGAGACAATGTTAACATTGTCTCACTCTAATTACTTTGTCTCACTCCATATTTGCAACGAGAAGCCACGAAATAGTGAGCGCGTAACATGCAGGCAACGTCGTATGCGCGCGAAATACGTTGGCAGCACTGGCTGTAAATCAGCTGGTCAGCTGTTGTACTGTTGTATTTGTCACTTCACATTAAATGTTATATTAAAAGTTCACTTCTGTGTAAAAATAGGTTATGTTCCTTCACCAATTTATTTGTTTTATGGTAACTGTAGGAAAAGTATAATGTGCAACTCGAGTTCAAAGTACAATTGCCTCACTCGAGAAACCATTCCTCACTCGCCTACGGCTCGTGAGTAAGGATTTCTCTCGAGTGAGTCAATTGCTCACTTTTCTCACTAGTTGCACAAATAACTATTTACTGTAATTCAAATAGTATATGTAAAGTAAACTTTAATAGTGTACGCTAACTATTTATCATCAAGCATATACTCTGTATGATTGAACCTCTCTCCTAGCCCTCTGTCTAACTAGGGGTTGGTCAATGGACGAAGGGTCATTAGACAGGTTCCGTAATACAGACTATAATAAATGGCATCACCCCTTGTAAGCATCTTTAACGTGCTCGAAAGCTTAATGGGTGTATTTTAACTACCCTTGCAAAGTGGTCCATTCTCTATTTAGCTCTGGTATGTTAAACGTTGAAATACAGCGAGAACAATAGTCATATATCACTTGAAACAGACTTCTAACGCCCAAAGGCCAATATAGTTAAACACTAGTCTTGCTCGCTTTCTATCATTGCAGAATGTAGCTTTTTTTCTGCGATAAATCAGCTGATCGTAATTCATATAAAATTCAACCCTAGGATCTATCCTTACACACTTGTGAAATCATTTCCGGAAGCGGTAACAGAAAAATGTTAGTATTTGTATGAAAACTCTAACTTAAAAGACGTTGTCATTAGAAATGTGAATGAATAGTATTACACGAAAGAATTAACACTCATAAGTTTAATTCTTTAACACATCATAAGTTTAAGTATAAACAAATGCGAGAGTTGAGATTCTGGTGGAAAACCTAATTACTAATTCAGACATTAGAGAATAATACAACTTTAGCTTACTATATTGTGCCTACTATATTTTTGCTGTTCATTTTTTTATTACAGTAACGCTTTAAAAATGTGTTATACCCCATTGCATTGATCTGTGCCCCGCTTAGCATTCTGCTCACCTCCAAAATAGGTATGAATTAATCATAACTGATTACTTGGCGTAATCCGCCTTTAAGCGGCTTTGAACGGTTATTGGAGTTGCTGACTTAATACGATCGAATCATTGTTAAACTATAATCATTCGCATTGCTTGTGCAAACCATATCTGATGACATTTGATAAGATAGACATCGGTCAATACTTTGAGAATTATATTGTATTAGGAGTCATCAACACTTTGAGACAAATTTTAAATATGGGGTTTTTATATTTGTTTATATTACATCTTCACACCTTAGGATGCTAGTTGCTTCAACATGCAAGGTTAAAGATTCGCTGAATTATTAAATTATTATAAAATTACTCGAGACATTGATGATTTGAACCCAAGACCTCACGGACCAATACCCCACCATCTACAGTTACAACAATCGGAAATAAGTATGTGTAGGGTAATACACAAAATGCACTATTTAGTTGTTTAGAATACCAAAAGTAATTTTTCAAACATTTCAGAGCTTTTAAAACTTTGTCTAAAAACATTAAAAGAACAGAAGCCTCTCTTCTTGATCGACAGAGATGTGTAATAGATATATCAAAAATTCCCCCCCCCCCCCCCAAATAAAGTAGTGGAGAAAAATCCCACAAATAACATTTTGTGTGAATAATGATGCGAATAAAGTATATCTACTTAACACTATATGTAGCAGATACACTTGAATGAAAAAGATAAAGGTTACTAGGAGATAGCTGTCCTACTGGCAGAAGCAGGGGCCTTAGTTCTTGAGGTCGCGAGTTTGAATCCCACCAATCACCAATATTTTACTCCTGTGATAATGCTACAAATTTCTATGCCAAGCCTGAATAATGTGTATGGTCTGGGATAGAACCTGGTGACCCTGGATTTAAAATGAATTAATACAAATACTATCTCATTGTCAAAAGTTTTTAAAAAATAGCACGACATTGAGTGTTTAATTTCAATATTAAATAACGTGTCTCTTCGAACTCTCAAGAACACAACACACAATCTGTTGTATCGTAAAAACAAATGTGAAAAGTGAATGATTGGTGTGAAAAGGAAATTAAGCTGGATATATTTGACGAGGAATGAGCCTGCAGTGCATGCGGGCAGCACGATATTCGGCCGGCATTGCTGGCGTGCTATATAGCCTTTGAGCACGGCACTCCTGCCAACATTGCTGTATCAACCACGTCTAGACTTTTCTTTTTTTTATGTTCACCTTCGCGTATTAGGATGCCAGCTCTCCGGATCCGTTTTTAAACGTTGGGAAAAGCCTAGATGGTTGTGGCATAAACTAAAATCTATCCATTGGCTGGAATTGAACACGGTACTTCCGAGACCAAAGCCTCGTATTGTTTAGTTCGCTCCCACATGACTAAACGCAGATTAAAGATGTTTGTACAGGAAAATGTCAACAACCTATTGACCACTATACCACCAGATGTATTGTGATTTTTAAAATGATTTAAATAACTTCTTGTTAGCATCGTACGTGCTATTAAAATATCTCTAATTACCAAAAATACGTAAAATAACATTTGTAATAATATATTGACACTTACACTGTTTACTCACAAAACGGTATATATGTTATGAAAAATGGTAGCCTAAGTGGTGAACGATTTTGATTGGACGCTCCAATCATCATGAGACCCAATTGGCGAATCCCATTCGCCCCATGGGTCTGATTATGATTGGAGTGTCCAATCGAAATCGATTACCACTTACCATTTTTATATGCATTTACCGTCTTGTGAGTGAACAGTATAAATGTAAATATAGTATTACAAGTGTTATTTGACGTATTTTATTTACGTTCAGAAAAGTAATTTGTTGATTATTTTTTATTGTATTTTCTTAGGTTAAACTTCCAAGCAAAAAATTAACTCTATGATTCACCTCATATTAGCAATTTTACGGTATTTCTTTGCACATTTCCCTCTTAAACTTAAACTTAAACTATCAACAAAGTTACTACTCAATAAAAATATCATCCGAGTTCGACCGTATTCCGTACGAAATAGTTATTTGTGTAACTAGTGGTGAAAGTGGCACTTTGCTGCACACGAGAGCAATGGTTACGAGTGATCAACCTGTCCCGTGTCCTGTGTGTTGAGGAATGATCTGGAGTGCAGCAAAGGCCTTTTTCACTCGTGTTACACATTATATTTTTCCTACAGTCACTATAAAGCATATAAATAATTAGTCTTTCAAACACTATACAACACGTTTTTAGGTTCAGCTGGCAATACAAATAGGTGCCCTAGAGAAAGTAGTACCCGTGGTCCGTATCACTCCGCAAATATGCAGCAATTAGCAGCTTCCTTGTACTATAAACAGTACAAGGAAGCCAACTTTGTCGGGTGACTGTAGGAAAAGATATTTATGTTGTATTAATTGAGAAGCAAAGCTTTGGTGAAAAAAAAAGGCAAAACAAAATCTATAAATCCGATTCAAATATAGAACAAAGCTATAAATCGCCCGCACCGCTAATTTATAAAGCTAATCCGTTTGTTTAACTGTGATGTTCAGCATGAATTGTTAATTAGGGTTGAATCAACCGCGATGTTCAATATATTCTGTTCAGAAACAACGCTGATGGAGCCAGCCATCGTTCTCATTTAATGCATTGTAATCACCTAACATTGGCTAACTAACGTAGAGTAGCGAGTAGCCGTACAGAAAACTGTTATGTGATTTTTCAGCTCTAGCTGAGCTTGTTTACTATTACGGTGTGGTTTTAGCGAATTTCCCATATAAGCTGTTACAGTAGGTAGGGTGGTAAGACCTAGACCCGGGGCCGATTTACTTTTTCGTTTTGAGATCCCCAGAGACCAAAAACACCATCCTTTTAAATTCACAATATGTCCATTAGCACGATAACTCGAGCAAAAATGATCCAATTTTAATGAAATTTGGTACAAACGTGTAAACCTTAAAAAAGAAATAATTTTGTATAGGTATTGAAGCGTTGTTGTATGCCCAACGGAGATAACTACAAAAATTGTAAATTTAAAATTCCCATGTTATTCTTATAAAGAATAAATACACGGTTGTAGTTTGCTTGTTTA